TTCACTTTACTGCAGTTAGATCAATGAGAGATGATTGGTTGCTACGGGCTACTGGACTTTTAACATTGCTCTTTGCTTTTTTGCATGAAAATGCTGGAGTCAAGCACTGTTGCTTAACTGACCTTATCCATTCAGCAAAAGAAATGGAAGGTGTACTGATCCTTTCATTTAAGTTTCATCGATTTCTTTCTTCTTTTTTTTTTCTTCCAGGCGCCTGTAGAGTAAGTGATAACAAAACACGGATAAGGTTATATAAAGGTTGAGCAAAACATCAAAGTCACTTTACCACTAAAAGTTTTTAGTGAGTTTTTTCTTTTTTCCTTAAAATTAGCCAGGCAAGGTTGTAATTAAGGGTATTTTTGTACATCACAGTGGAACCCACAGACAAATTGTTAAGAAGACTGCAGTGCTGGTGCATTTTTGATCATGTACCTCATGCTGAGCAAGCCAAATCATTTATAGCACTTGTAATCTTGGAAGTGAATACATTTAATGCTGGGCTCCTATTTACTGTTATATTTATACCGTTGCTAAACATAATCCCTTCTACACTATTTACTTTTATATTATATACAGTATGTGTATATAATATATTTATATTTGTATTTATATTTGCACTCAATATTTCTATTTGGCTTTTTTGAATTTTTAAAATAAAAATTTAATTTAGCCTTTCATGCATTTTGACATACATAAACTTCATTCTGCATTCTACATTGGTGCAATTAAATTATATATGCTGAAATGGTGTCTTAAACCAATTTATATTCTAATGACAATAGCACACCCTTTGATGCTATATTTTGTTTAGTAACAGAGATTTTAATAACCCCCAGATCACTGCAATGTTTAATGTGTGTATTTTTACAACAAAATTATGGGGTCTATTCACTAAGCTGCCGTAGGCTGCCGAGTGAACAACTGATCCGAAGTGAAGTGAGCTGAACGCTGTTCGGCTATTCACTTCAGGCTTGTACGGCTGATTTCAGCCGTACATCGGCTTTCTTCGCGTGGCTTCAGGTCGGCTGAACATGCTCAGCATGTTTGGCCGACCCAAAGTGCAGAAGGAGTTCGACTCAGCCGATCCAATATCTGGATCGGCTGAGCCGAACATCCGGCAGGCTACTCGCTGCTGTTCGGCCTATTCTCATAGATGCCGAACAGCAGTGAGTAAATAGCCAAATGCCGCCGAGCGGCATTCGGCTCAGCTATTTTGCTCGGTACCTCTGTGGTACCGAGCAAAATAGAAAACCAGTTAAAAAAGTAGAAAAAATAAAATAGAAAATGATTGGGCGGAGCTAGCAGTGACAGCTAGCTGTACCCAACTGTTTTCTATTGGCCGGGCGGTTCTGCTGCTGTCAGAATAAAAATAAATTATAAAAAATCCCCATAGGAATGCATGGCTAGATTCCTATTGGCTATTTCAAGTTGCATTAGCAAACTAGCTATTGCACCCGCCCTCTGCTGCTGTCAATCACTAGAGGGGATCTGATGGTAAACTTCAGGTCCCCTCAACTGTTTTCTATTGGCCAGGCAGTTCTGCTGCTGTCAGAATAAAAATAAATTATAAAAAAAAATCCCCATAGGAATGCATAGCTAGATTCATATTGGCTATTTCAATTTGCAATAGCCAATAGCAAACTAGCTATTGCACCAGCCCTCTGCTGTTGTCAATCACTAGAGGGGACCTGTTGTAGAACTTCAGGTCCCCTCTGAAGTTAATCAAATGAATGATTGGAAGCTGGGAGGACTGGGAGGGAGGACTGACTCCTGATCATGTGATCACTGTGATGGCCAATCACAGTGATCGTAGGTTTTTTGCATTCTCTCCTGTACTGCTCCTCTGCGAGAAGAAAATGTGGATTTACCACCAAGTGAAGACCCAATTTGTCCAAAACAAATCAAAACAAGGTATAGTTCACCAAGATATACTAGGTAGTTGCAAAGATGTTATGTTTTACTAACAAATTCTAAAGTTAGAGAACTGGGTTCAGGCATTAAGATTTGTTTTCACTTTAATCATTAAGCAGTTAAATTACTTTTTTTAGGAAAAGGATTAAATTAGACCCAGATCTGATCTAAAGAGATGTTTTTGTTCATAATTTGTACGACATTCTCAAGTATCAGCATAATTCTTTATGGCTAACTTTTTAGTGGTACTTTTTAGTGTTGTGCTTGTCTGACATTGGTCCGCTGTCCACAAATAGTAAGAGCAATAATGGATTAATTTTAGGGGAGTACAGCAGGAATGGGGAAAGGGACCACAGAAAGGAAAAACAGCCAAAAAGGAGGAGAGAGAAGAGATAACATGGGGCATGTGAAATAGCCCAGACTCCTAGATGTGACACCTGGGAAAAAAAAAAATGCTGTAATTAGTGATAGGGCACATTGCATAGAACCCTTGTTGCATTAGAAGTAGAAGGGAGGGGGCTTAGTTACTTTACCTGTCAGTTACACCCCTGCTCCCTCAGAGTGATGGTTGTCCATCTAATTTCAGATCAGAGAGATTATTTTCTGAGCCAAAACGTGGATTATAATAAATGAATGTGATCTCATAGATTCCGGTGACAAGTGAAAGCAACTAAATTGTGATCAGAGAAAAAGTTGCATTATTCTCAGTGTAGTTTTGTGGAAAGATGTTCCTAGCATACAGAGCACATGTGGGTTTTGTACATTGTTAGATGTTGTTCAGAATCATTATGTACTGTGCCTGCACAGTTTGTGTGTACGTTTTATATAATGTATTATTGTTTTGTCAGTTACATCCCGGATCCCTCACAGTGATGAGAGTCCACCATTTCACTGCAGCTAATCCTAATTAACGCACCCACATTTCACTCAACCCTATTGCATTGTGGATTTTTTTCATATGTACAACAACAGTTCAGTCTTTTTCAAATATTGTTTGCGTGCTTTTTATAGGTTAGTGGCTAACTAAATATTGAGCTTAGGATAAGGATGAGAGTCCTGAAACTTGAACTATTTAAAGTTGTAATAAACTCTCAAACTTTTTAAAATAATAAATCCAGATCAAACAAATACACATTGTCCGGAAAAAGTATTTTTTCTACATTTTTGCCCAAGCACTTGTTTCCATCATGTTTCCAAACAGCTCCAACTCTCTCAGCTCCACTTCCCTGAACTTCCTGTCCAGTACAAGAACACAAGGCTTAGAGCAGTCTCCAGCAACAGTCCATTTACTCTCTGTTCCATGATGTTTAAAAGTTTTAGTTCCCAGCAGAATCAGCTGGTCCCCTGAGCACTGGCCCTGACACCCTGTTTTATGGTGGCTCCTTTCGCTAGCAGGGTCCTATGGAGCCACCCTTGTGTGTGCTAGTAAGGAGGAATGGCAAGCAATGGCGAGTGGAATGGATTGCATTGCTGTGTCTGTGTGTTTGTAAAGACACACACAGCTTACAAGCAAAGACAAGGGTGTCAGGGTTCCACCCTTATTTAACTGGTTGCATCATTCTGGCATGGCTACCTTTTCACTCACCTGTGATTCCTCTGAGCAGACTGTTTAACGTTGCTCACTACTCCCAGGCTCACTCTTATGGCCAAACAGGAAGCATCATCTGAGAGAGCCAGATGGGAGTTTCCTGTCTCTGAGTGATGATGTCATGCCACTCACTATTTGAACCACTCAGTCCAGTCTGACCTTGCCCTTGCATGATCTTTCTTGCTAGTGCATTCCTGCTGCTCAGTGTATACTGATTCTGTGCATGACCCGATCTTGGCTGACGTTCTCCCCTGGTTCTTGCTCCTGGCTTGTTCCTGACAATGCTGATCTCCTGGTTCCTGCCCCAGGCTTGTTCCTGACTATGCTGATTTCCGTGTTCCTAACCTGGCTTGTACAACTACCTACTCTGGCTCCTGACCTTGGTTTGTTTCTGTTTATGGTTTTTGCTTGCTCCTGTGGACACTTTTCTTAATAAATATTTTAACTAGCACCTTATGCTTGTCTGGTTTTCACTGTGCTCTAACAAAGGGTGGCTCAAGAGGACTCTGCTAGGGAAAGAAGCCCACCGAAAACAGGGTGTCAGGGCCAGTACTCAGGGGACCAGCTGATTCTGTTGGGAACTAAAACTTTTAAACAACAAGTCAGCATCCATTGTAAGTCATTTCATCCGTGTTTGAAATGGCTTAAAAACCTTTTGACTTTAATATCACTTTAACACAATTCAATAATGATAGCCCCAATATTTATATTCTTACAAATTCACTTTAACAGTCTGTTTTTATTTAGGTGAAATGCAGTCCACAGACATGAAGTTGAAGTATGATGTGAGGTTATATAACTTCAAAGGTTAAATTGTGTAACCAAAAAGCTATTTTTTTTTATGCTCTTAACCTAACCTTACACCTTAGAAAAGCTGTTCCTAAGTTTGAATAATCTTTAAGAATTGATATTCAGAGGGCACATTACTTCAGATGACTTCTTTTGTCATAGAGCTAATTTTGAACAGATAATTCTACATTATAACGAATTGGCTTTCTGTGCACTAAAAACATAAAACAATGGATAAGTGTTATAAAGTGTTTTCTAAAGCCTATAGTAATGATAATGCTGAACTGGTTTGTATTAATAATACCCAGTGCTGCGCGTATTCAGCTAAGAGTTCCAGTATTTATTGTGCATGTTGGCTACATACAGATGTGGACTTATGGAAAGTTTGATATTGCTATTTATGAATGTTTCAAGTGACATTACATGGATCAGTTTTTATTTGGTGTTTTGTGGCACTGCAAGGTTAGGTTGGTGCTTACTCGTTTACCCGGGTGGATATGCTACAGTGGATATCACAGTTTAGTGTATAATAAAAAGTTACCAAACATCTGCTGTGAAGGAGATTACAGCATTTGACCTTGATTGAATGTTCAGTACACAGTACCTGTTTTAAATTGAGTATAAGTCAGTGTACAGCTCTGTAAGATGTGCTGCAAATATAATTAAAATGGTTAAAAAAATTAAATTTGGTGAATTTTGTTTTATTCCACAGATGGGGAACTATATTCTGGGACTGCAGCAGATTTTATGGGAAGAGATTTTGCTATTTTCCGCACGCTTGGAAATCATCATCCAATTAGAACAGAGCAGCATGACTCCAGATGGTTAAATGGTAAGCAGAACACCTATTATAAAACAAAGTAGATGTGGAAACACTTACATTTTAGGTTTGGAATGAGCTACACAGCATTGTAAATAAGAAAAAAAAAACATAAAAATGCTTAGTTGCCTATCTATTTAATACACTTTATTCAGTTTCACAGAGAAAAAATAATGTTTGAACTGTTGTATATATGATGCAATTCAAATGGCATCAGTTAACTTATGAAGTTGCATTAACTGAATCTCACAGAAAGAAAATTGACAATTGCATACCGTTATGTTCACTAGTCCTGCAGGAACTGCTCATCCCCCGCTACCTCCATGCACAGCACCTCCACCTCTCAATTTAGAGCTATATGTCATTGGTGTTTTGTGACATAAGAGCTGGCAGGTGGGGGATCAAGTATTCAACACATCTAGAGGTGTACAATATTTGAAGCAGCTGGGGAGCAGAGAAGCAGCAGCTTATCCATAGAGAGGCTACCTAAAAGGTAAGTATAAAAAAAAATTAAAAAAATCACTTCTTTTTCAGGTGATCTCTTGGCCAAAAGTGACCCTGTGGTGAAATTGCAGTCGCTTCCTGATTATTAGTGGCCAATATGAAAGCTGCCCCTCCCCCTCCTTGCCAATTATCCTCCTTTGTGTTCTCTATATTTTTTATTTGTAATACATTTTTATTTAAGAAGTAAGTGTAAGTAAAAGTCATATAATTGATTGGGTTTTTTTCCCAACAATATTTCTTTTATTTAAATGTTTTTGTTATACATTGTTCAACATAAAGAAGACAAAACAGCCTCGATACAGGGTATTTGAATACATAACTGTCAATTTGGTACATACTAATAAATGGTAATGCCTTGGAATCTATGTCATAGATACAATATAGAGAGTAGAACATAGTAAAAATGACATAATATGTTCAGGGACACCTGTATCAGACAAAACTATACAAACCAACTAGGAAAAAAAAAAAAGGAATACAGAAACGAAACTACAAAATACACTTGTATAAGTATGGTCAACGTGAGTAGAAGGAGCTTGTGAGCCATTTATTCCATTGTCTGTGAAAACGATGAAACGTGTGATTTTTGTATGCGTACATACGTTCGTAGGAGCATTGTAGATTGGTCCTTTGGATCACTTCTAAGAAGTTAGGGGGAGTGGGGGAAAGTGAAGCCTGCCGGAGGTTCGGCTCAGCCGATCCAGATGTTGGATCGGCTGAGTCAAACTCCTTCTGCACTTCGGGTCAGCCGAACATGCTGAGCATGTTCGGCTGATCCGAAGCCACACGAAGCAAGCCGATGTACGAGCCTGAAGTGAATAGCCGAACAGTGTTCGGCTCACTTCACTTCTGATCGGTCATTTACTCGGCTGCCCTCGGCAGCTTTGTGAATAGACCCCTTAATTTTTTACAGTGCCAAAATGTATGGGCTAGGGATTCAATGTCGCCACACAATCTCCAACAACTCGGTGATTGGGAGCTGGAGAATTTGGATAACTTATAAGGTGTATGGTACCTTCTTTGGAGCATTTTGTAAAACGCTTCCCAATGAGAGGCACATTGGGTGCTTGTATAAGAAATTTGAATGGCTTTCAACCATTGTTGCTCAGAGAATATAATTCCCAATTTGCGTTCCCATTTCAGCATGTGAGTAGTCTTAATGAAGCCCAGAGTGTTCCCTAGGAATTTATAGAACAAGGTTATACCTTTTGAGGAGGTGGAAGGGCTGAAAAGGAATTTGTATATGTTTGAGTCCATCTGTATTGTGCCCGGTATTTGCGTTTTCTTTAGAAAGTGTGTAATTTGGTAATAATGGTGGAATTCCACTGTCGGGATATTGTAATGAGAGGACAATAATGCTAGTGATTTTAAAGTATCATTGGAGGAATAAAGATCCCTTACATGGGTAATCCCGTGTTGATTCCATTTATTTAAGGCGATATGGGGGATGCAGTAAGTTAAAACATTAAGTGTGGGGTGAATGTTTTGTAGAGAGGGCGACATTGGTGAGTGTAAAGACATGGATACCCATGCTTCTAGAGTGGCTTGAATGGAAGCATATGGTGGAGTGTAATGAAGTTTTGAGAGTTTGGCTGAAATTAGAAGATCTAGCCCAGATTTCGCTTTTAGCAACCACAGTTCCATATGAGCCCATTGTTTATCTGGAGTAGGTTTACACCAATATTGAAGTTGATCCAACAGAGCAGCTCTATGATAGCATTTTAGGTTGGGCAGAGCCAGACCGCCCACCATTCTATTTTTATATAGGATATGGGCCGCACATCTGGGTCTACGCCCCTGCCAGATAAATCGGGATAGATGTTGTTGAAGAGATTTAAAGAAAGAGGAAGGTGGTATAACAGGTATTGTTCTAAAAATGTAAAGGATTTTAGGAAGTATAAATATTTTTAGAGCAGCTATTCTGCCAGTCACTGAAAGGTAGTAGTGGGAAAGGTTTTGTAGTTCATTGGGAATTTGTTGAAGGAGTGGCTTAAAGTTGAGGTCATAGCAGTGTTTGGCAGTTTTAGGCAAATTAATGCCAAGGTAGGGAATCAAGTTAGCCCCCCATGAAAACGGATAGTTCATTGACAATTGGTTTTTCATAGAAGTGGGGATATGGAGGTCTAGGATTTGCGATTTTGAAACATTTAATCTATAATAAGAAATCTTGCTAAATTCGGATAGTAACGAACATACTGCTGGTAAGGAAGTATTGGGATTGGTAATTACAAGGAGAATGTCATCTGCAAAGAGACTAATTTTGTGTAGTAGGGCCTACTTTAATTCCGGTAATGTGCTCTTCGTTACGGATATGATGTGCCAGGGGTTCCATTAGAAGTACAAAGATGATGGGGGACAGGGGACATCCTTGTCGTGTCCCATTAGTGAGAGGAAAGGGATCTGACAGAGTGCCTGAGGGGAGTATTCTTTCACTAGGGGAAGAGTAGAGGGCTAAAATGGCTGATAGGATGGAGCCTTGAAAGCCAAATTTCTGGAGCACTGCCTTAAGATATCCCCAATGAACCATGTCGAGCACCTTTTCGGCGTCTAAGGCGAGGAGTAGTGAGGGCAATTTGGTTACTTCAATGTGTCGGAGAATATTATGGATACGCCTGGTGCCATCTGGGGCTTGTCTGCCTTTCGTAAAACCTACTTGGTCAGGATGGATCAAGGAAGGAAGTATGTTAAGAAGATGCAGCGATAAGCCTTTCGCATGAATTTTTATGTCAGAGTTCAGAAGGGATATAGGCCTATGATTGGCTGGGAGCAACGGGTCTTTTCGAGGTTTAGGGATTGTAACTATGATACCTTGCAACATTTCACTAGAAAAAGAACCAGTAATCATTGCCTTGTTGAGGACATTAGTAAGATGAGGAGTGAGAGTGTCTGCATATGTTTTATAGTATTCATTTGGAAATCCATCCCCACCAGGGGATTTGTGCATGGGGAGCGAGGCAATGACGGTTCTAATTTCTGAACAAGAAAAGGGTTTAGACAGTTGCGTTATGTGTTGAGGTGATAAGGATGGCATGTTAAGACGGTTTAAAAAAGTCTGAATATTACAATCATTAGTTTGGGGGGTATCAGGGTCGTTAGCCATATTATACAGTGTATGGTAATAAGACTTAAATATATTAGCCATTTTGTTGGGAGTAAATTGTTTTTTCCCCGTCTCTGGGTCAATCAGGAAGGCCAATCTGGATCTAGTATTCCAACCTTTGAGTTTATTAGCTAGAAAGGCATTGGGTTTATTATGAAGGGCGTACGAGTTAGCTTTAAGTTTTTTGAGCATGTGCTCATAGTCGTCCAATAGGAGAATGCGTAATGATTGCCGTTCTACTTGAAGTTCTTTAGCTAATTGCATGGAGGGAGAAGTTTTGTTCAAACCTTCTAGGCGCTTAATGGAAGTAAGTAGAACGTTCATTTTTTGGAGCTTGTCTTTTTTCCTAAAGGCACTTAGTTTTATGCATATCCCTCTAATTACTGCCTTATGGGCATTCCACAAAGTATATCTGTCAGTGTCAGGGGAGTCATTGATGTCGAAAAAATGTTTTTGTTCCTCCCCAATTTGCAAAGCCAAGGTCGGATCTGCAAGGAGGAGAGTATTGAACCTCCAGAGTCGCGGAGTCGCTTTAGGAATTTGATCCTGCACACTGACAGATATAGGGGCGTGGTCTGACCAAGTTATCAATCCTATATTAGAGGAGGCAATTGAAGGCAAAGAAAAAACATCAGTAAAGAATATATCTATACGAGAGTAAGTGTGATGAACCTGTGAGAAGAACGTGTAATCTCGTTCATCTTCATGTTGACATCTCCAAATGTCGGACAAACCATTCCGAAATAAAAAATGATCTATGGTGGTATGGGAGGATTTACCTGAGGTAGAGGAATCCATAAGTTTATCAGTAACTGCATTAAAGTCACCTCCTATAAGGAGAGTGCCTGCTTTATGGGTATAAATGAGTTTGAGTAATTTCTTGAGGAATTTGATTTGACATTGGGGGCGTAAAGATTGACTATGGTAAAAAGTTGTGCATTAATCTCACATTTCAATATAAGAAAACGACCATTAGGATCAACAATAATTTCAAGCAAATTAAAAGCTAGTGTGGAGGATACAGCAAGAAGGACTCCGGCTTTCTTCTTATCCGCGCTGGCGAGGAAAAGGTGTGGGAAGTCCTTGAATGTAAAGTGGGGAGTTTTATCTTTAGCAAAGTGAGTTTCTTGTACCAGCAGTACTTCGCTATAAAAGCTTTCGAGCCTCTCTTAGCAGGTTGTATCTTTTCTGGGGGGCTGTTAAGGCCTTTGGCGTTTATAGATGAAAAATTAATCGGCATTCTTAAGAATGGGAAAGCTAAATTGAGCCTGTGTATGTCCATTGTGAGTGCAGAAGTGTCTTCCATTGCTGGAGGGCAGGAGGAGAACAGCATTCACGGTGAGGCACCATACGTAAAGTTGAGGGGGAACAAGAATTATTAACGGTGACCATTGAATGATGATGAGTA